CAGATTTACAGAGACTCTGAAAATCCAAACCCTGGAAGTTTTCCTGGAAGTAAGAACCTGGTGGAACCTCCTGAACACCTGACCTGACGGTGAAGACACCTGCAGGTACAGCCTGGAGGTGGACCTGGGTCAGTCTGAGGTGATTCAGAGACGCAGGTTCTTGTTCTGGTTCCTCTCATTAGAAGATCAAACCTAACATCCTGCTTTCACTCCTAAACTACCTGGTCAGGTTCAAGTACCTTCAAACAGTCTGGATTATTTAACAGCTGATCTTYACTGTTCTCTGTTAAAGTTTAATTACTGCGTGTTGACTGTTCATCTAACCTTTACACAACATGTGATTATCCACAATAAGCTGAACATTAGTGATTTATTTTGATCTTGTTTGTTCTTTGATCAACTTGAGTTCACTAAAGTCTGACTTACTGTGTGGTCTGAGCTCCACAGAGACGTCACTTGTTCCTTGAAGAAGAGAATCTGAGATATTTTCCTCACAACTTTAAGTTGTGAGTGTAACAATCCTCACAACTTGTTACAGTTTTAACGAAGAGTTCTTGTGCGTTTGATAATCAGAGAGTTTGTGAAAGTTAGTGAGGAAGGAGAACAGATCCTTGTGTTGAACTGGGATTCAGCTGTGGACGGTTCTTCTGCTGAAATAACTTCACTAAACTAAAAGTTTTATCCTAAAACATCAAGGTTTGATTTGTTTCAATCCTGTACAAATGTTTAGAGTTGAAATCATTGCTTRTTTCAGTGTGAAGGTCCAGGTCAACATGTCRGTGTTTAGTTGCAGATGGTGGTCCGAAGTCAYGAAACAAAGGGCCCACCGAGGAACTGGTCTTCTTTAGGAACTAACAACTGGTCCARCACTCAGTTAGGACACACACCAGTGTCCAAACATGGAGCAGCTGTGTTCTCCTGGAGGGGAACCAGTGCTTTGAAGCCACACACCCACTGGGAATCTGGCAGCCTGGACACGAGACCACCGGCTGTGCCCACCACACACCAGCTCCTAAAGTTGTTGTATTTAATAATTAATTCAGCTCAAGACGTGTGCTTGATTGTTGTTAAATCTTAAACTTTTATAGGAAAACTGATGACTCATAAATAAGTTGTTCACTCATTTGTTTGATTGTGTAAATAAATGATGTTTGTTGCTGCATCAAATCACTGAGTTACGTCACTCAGTGTGTTGTTGTTCACTTTACACAGAACAGAGATTTCCTTCAAATAACAGAAACCTTGGTAAATAATTTCCTTATAGTGTTTGTTCACCAGGACAGACTCACCAGGACAGACTCACCAGGACAGACTCACCAGGACAGACTCACCAGGACAGACTCACCAGGACAGGTGCCACTCAGGGTGCACAGCCACGTAGATGAGCAGGGAGCCAAAGATCAGCAGGTAGGTCCCGTAATAAATGGCGTTCTCGATGAGCGCCGTTTTGATTTTGCCCGTGATGGAGAACCCCCCGGAGCGAGCGTACGACTGCATGAAGGGCAGCAGCAGCCTGGGGACAGGAAGTGGTTCAGACAGGAAGTGGGTCAGACAGGAAGTGGGTCAGACAGGAACCTGAGAAAGCACAGCTGGTACTGGATCAGAGTCCCACTGACCAGGTCAGACACTGAGACGTCCAGTAGACCACCCTCCAGAAGACGGGCATGATGCCTTCAGGGATGTAGCTCCAGGGTTTGTAGCAGCGACTCACAACTCTGAGGAGACACTTTCATCACAATCTGAGGCTTCGAGGGTCCACATGAAACCACCTGGTCCTCAAAACTTCATGCTTTTACCTTGTTATGACTAGATTATTACTTTGTTATTATCATGTTGTTACATTGTTATAACTCTCATTACTATATTAACCCTGTTATGTTATTACACTGTTAACTATAAAATTACTGTTATTACTGTGTTGTTACAGTTATTATTGTGTTGTTATTGTGTTATTACTGTGTTATTACAGTTATTATTGTGTTGTTATTGTGTTATTACTGTGTTATTACAGTTATTATTGTGTTGTTATTGTGTTATTACTGTGTTATTACTGTGTTATTACGTTATTG